ATCGGCTGATACCTGAGAAAAAAGACCCTCAGATCGATTAGTTTATTCTCGTTAAGTAAGTTATAAACGAGAAGAAACCAATCAAACCAAACGTTATAAATGTATAAGATATAATTTATGTTAGACCCATAGTGTCATCGGCTACTTGCCAGCGTCGTGATTTCATACGTGAATTTAGGTATTAACTTTTTTTAATAATTTGTTTGTCGAATCTCTATTTTATAATATCTATTAGCGTGCCAAGTTTAAGCTCGATAAGTCCAGCAGTATGAGCTGTGCAGTATCATTTTAGCCTTTTATGTATACGTTTCATCAGTAGTAAGAAAATACAAATACTAATTATATAAAGTACATAATAAGACATACATATATAAGCGATACAAATGTTGAACGTCAAAATAAATAGGTATACTTTTTACCTGATTATATTTTCCCTAGTGTTTGAATTTAAATATTTTTAAGACTTATTATTTTAAGAACGAATATATACGAATAAGAAAATAATATTTTACAACAGTCTTCCATGGTTTTTATATGTATATGGAAACAATATGGATCCTATATTACAGACTATTTATTAAATATACGTATATTTTAATATTGTATAAACTATTATTTGCTCTCTAAAAAAATCGATTTATACGAAAAAATATTAGCATTTCTGTTTCAAATTTTGCGGCATTTTCATTAAGGAGAAAATGCTTCAGATTTTAAGCCCAAAAATAAATGTCACTATCATGTATTATCTTCATAAACTTTAAACTTACATTTTCAAGAGTTTATTCTATTCCGGATCGGTTGACTTTAGCAAAAATTGGTTGAAGTCACTGCACTGACTATTTTTCCCGCCCTTTTCGGGAAGCGCGACTAAGTCCGCCAAGAGGGCCAACGAGACTGCCGTGCGCCAACTTCGAGGGAGATGGAAGATCAACTCTCGAATATTAAACAGAGACGGGCGCAATCGTATTGAACGCAAAAACATTGAGATAGGGGTGGAAAATGTGGTCTTGATTTTGCAAAATGATGATGATTCCTCTAAATTAAACCTACTTATAGATTTCAACTTACCTACATAAATGTAATCACCATTAAATTTCGTCTATTTCTAGTTATTATCAACATACTAGTTTATTTATATATAAAGGTATCAATGAAAACGATATTAATATTTACTATAATTTGTAATAAAAAAATGGTCAATAAAAACACCAAAAAATCTCTCCGGCGGGGAATCGAACCCCGGTCTCCCGCGTGACAGGCGGGGATACTGACCACTATACTACCGAAGACTTGTGAAACGTGACATAATAATGGTATTATATCTAAATACCTATTTAAAATTAAGATGACAAATATAAATGTAGATCTAAAAATCATTCGACAAGAATATATTTCTTTCATGGTGCGATCACGGTAATGTTCTCTTTCATCTAAAACTATGTTACATTATCAATTTATCGTGGCGCGGTTTTATGACATTTAAGACTTCAGTTTGCAATATCAATTTCATTTTAATAAAATTTCTTTAATTCTTTTGAACCTCCGGGTATAGTCCTAGTAGATATGTCATAAATAGCATACATTTAACTAACACAATATTTAATTTTGTGAACTGATTATTTTTTTACCACATATTATGTAAACCTAATAATCTGCAATTTGTTGAGTATTGCTTTATATTCTCTGACTAACACATGTCGATGAACATTTTTCTATCTATCTACAGATGCTTTTCATCCAAGCTTTCAATACAGGCCTACATTCCATAAAAACGTTCATTCAAAATCCACTCAAACCTTCATGGTCATAAAAATGTAGAAATAGAAAAATATTCATTTTAGGGTGCTCTCACACATGTAACAGGTTCGTAAAATGGAGAAGAAAGAATCATGTTAAATTTTGACTTAAAAATTTACTAACGCCTCTATGATATGTCTCAAAATGTTGCATTTTCTTTATGTCATTTTACTAAAGCTGAACATATTTAATCTGCAGATTCTAAGAAATAAACTTTATTAAATTATTATCTATCAGGATGACCAAAATACGCAACTTATTTTTATTAGTGTCAAATACCCTATTATTTTAAGCCTCGCTTCTGACCCTAGAATGCTAGAACGATGGTTTGCTACGAGGGTCAAACTGAAAGTTCTTAGAAAATCAAAAACTGATTACATTAGCCAGTTATTAGTTTTATTATATCTTTTCAAAATATTGTCCATTCACGTCAATACACCGCTGCATGCGATGGAACCACTGGGAAAAGCACTTTGCCCACTCGTCCTTAGGGGTCTCTTCAATGGCATCGCGATACGCAGCCACCGCTTCTTCAGCATTCATAAACCGCTTTCCTTTAAGTTTTTCTTTAATTTTTGGAAATAAATAAAAATCACAAGGCGCGAGGTCGGGGCTATACGGCGGGTGACCCAGTAATTCAACGTTTGATGTCGCCAAATAGTCGATCGTTCGCTTGGCGGTGTGCGACGAGGCGTTGTCGTGGTGAAGGAGGATCCTACTGCGAGGTCGTTTCTCTCGAACTTTTTCCAAGACAAGTGGCAAACAATTGGTAGTGTACCATTCTGCAGAAACTGTTTTTTGATCCTCTAACACAATTGTTGCAAAATGACCTATCCTTCCAAAGAACGAGGCCTCCATTTTTTTTCCCGCACTTCGATCTCTCTTCACTTTAGTTGGCAACTCCTCGAAAGGAAACACCCACTGAGCAGATTGTCTTTTGGTTTTAGGATCATAACAGTAAATTCAGCTTTCGTCACCTGTTAGTATGTCGAACACAGCATTTGAGTCACCTCCGTTAAATCTTTCAATCATTTTACGACACCAATCCACACGATGGAGTTTTTGAGCCTCAGTCAAATTATGAGGTATCCACCGGGCGCAAAGCTTCCTGACCGCTAAATGTTCGTGGAGGATTTTGTGCACTTGACTCATACCGATGCCTAAGCTTGTCCGAATCTGTTGATAGGTCACTCTTTTGTCAGTCTCTATCATACGCCGCACAACACAGATGTTATCTTCAGTCGTCGCCGTAGAAGGCCGTCCCTCACGTAAATCATCAGTGAGATTAGTGCGACCACGTTTAAACTCATTAAACCAGTTGTAAACAGTCGCACGAGATGGGGCTTCATCGTGAAAGGCCAATCGTAGTCTATCATAACTTTCTTGTTGACTTAAATGACATCGAAAGTCATAAAAAATCATTGCACGAAAATTTTGTCGTGTTAAATTCATGATGACGTGACACAGACAATTTTCAATTTGCCGCCAAATCGTAAAACAAATGACAAATGAATGAAATATATACTCAGTAATATTGGCAAAGAGTTATATTTTCAAATTTTAGAATTATTTTTTTATTATATTGTTTATAAGTGGCCAGTTCTAAGAACTTTCAGTTTGACCCTCGTACAAGTTTGCTAAAACTACCTCAGTATGATTCAGACCTAATTAGCGTTTGCTATGTTTCGTTTCATGTAATATGAATATGGTAAAAAAGTGCACATAACATTTAGATTTATTTCAATATTTACGAGTCAAGCTTTAAAAAGCTTTCATTTAAATGCATTAATTTTTGACAGCTGTTTGAATCTTTAATATTATTTACAAATTACGAATTGGCCTCCAGATGAAAAGATGCTAAAATATTATTCTATTTTAAACAAAAACTACATATTTTAAATTAACACTTTAAGTTCATAAATCAAAATATATTTAATATAGAGGAAATGTATTATACATATTACGAATCTCCAATAAGTCTGTCGATTGCGAAATTGCGAAATAATCATTATATTACTAAAAATTGTTTTTTGAATTTTCTAAGTCCAATTTTTACGTCAAAATTTCGTAACGAATTTTATTTATTTATTTCTGCATAAATATGGAATATACAACTTGCTTATGTAGTTTCTATAGTTCCGCATAACACAGGATGGTATTTGAAAAATGAATATGGTACATAAACGCACACAATAAACGCTTTCGCCAAACTGCGCTCAGGTATGCTAATCAATGCTAATGAGGAAGTATTAAAAAAAACGAAAGCACTAAAAAAGCACCTCCATTAGATGGCGGCTCTAGCAAAAGTAGATTTTTGCAGGAAACGAATGGAGCAAAGACAGTCATTTCCGTACCTTTTAACTAACATATTAAAAAACTGACATTTGAAAAGTTCGAAACATAGTTATCAATACAAATACGAAAAAGTACAAATAGAATATGGGTTGTTTATTGAGTTTTGAAAATTAATTTTCTTTTAAACGTGAAAGAAAACCGGAAGAGTTGTCATGGAGAAATCAAGAACGTACCGTAGCGACATCTAGTTTGATTTCGGGAACTAATATTTTTTTCTAATACTTCCTCATCAGCATAGTTTTAAGGTGACACTTTGAATGCAAGTAACCTATCTACCCTTTTTTTATTGTAATATAATTAATTAAAATAAAAATGTTTCCACTACGTTTATTTTAGTTTATATATTTAATGAACGATATTTTATTTCTCGGCTCGGATTAGCTACTGTACAAAGAGCAATTAAAATTATACTTCAAAGGATAGTAATAAGGTTTATTTTTGTATTTAAAATTTTTCGTAGTTATAAGTCCTGTTATAAGTACTGAGACCATGCCTCAACAGTATATAGTACTCTGTGGCTACCTGGCAATACAAAAAGGCTGTGGTCGTTGAATTTGGATTACCCTAGTATTTATAGGAAAATTCTGTATTGGAGATGCTTCGACAGTACATATACTAAAATTGTATTTCCTATGGGACAATTAAACAAAAATAAAAACTGTGGCGGCGTCAGCTGATCGTTTGACAGTGTGTCATACAAAAGTCAAAAGTTCAGAGATAATATGTTTCTCTATGGCTCAACTTCTGAGAGAGAACCTATTGTTCTGTGGAGAGAACTGTTACTGTCAATATTAGGAGTTTAGAATTCGTCAGTTTTATTTTATTCCTACTTGAATTATTAAGTAAAAATGAAAGAAAATAGAAGAATATTGGTATTATATGGTAGCCAGACCTTTACAGCTAAGGAAATGGCTGAAAGAATATGGAGGATGACAAAAGTATTAGAATTTAAAGGTCCAGTACAAGCTTTCGATGAATATCCTATATCGAAACTAATTCACGAAGAATTTGCTATGTTTGTATGTGCTACAACTGGACAAGGGGACGAGCCGGATAATATGAAAAAGTTTTGGAAGTTTTTACTGCGAAAAAACTTACCTTCGACCTCTTTAGTAAAGTTAAAGTATGGAGTGATAGGTTTGGGTGATTCATCTTATGCAAAATTTAATTTCGTTGGTAAAAAACTCCATAAACGTCTGATGCAACTAGGAGCTACACCGCTACTTGATATTGGTATAATAACATATTAAAATTAATTCTTTTGATAGTTACAAGTGGCCATTTAAAAAATTAATCTGATTGGCACCATAATTTTCAGGCCTTTGTGATTATCAACATGATCTGGGTCATGATGCCGTATTAACACCTTGGCTAAAAAATTTCTTCACTATACTCCAGACTTATTACCCAAACCTTAAAACTGAGGAACTGACTGCTACCTTCGTGCCTAGATGGAAAGTATCTATTCTGAAAAATATGGATGAAAACCCTAAAAAAACTATAAGTAATGATATTTATTATTCAGGAGGACAGAAAGATACTTTTGTTGACAGTTTATTATTAGAAATAGAGGAAAATCAGAGGACTACAGATGAGAATCATTTTCAGGCAAGTTTAATATTAAAACTACTAATTTTTGGATGTTTTATTCTTTTATCATCTTAACATATTCTTTTAACTATTTCAGGATGTGCGACTTATCACATTAAAAGCTACTGATACAATTTTAGATTATAAACCTGGGGATATTTTTAATATTAGACCTCGAAATAGTGAAGAAGATGTGTTTGATCTATTTAATATATTTGAAATGCATAACATTGATATTAAACCTCATTACAAATTGCTTGTAGAAGAATATCATGAGGGTGAGTAACTTTGAAGATTTGGTTCTTTTATAATTATTACCAATTTTTTACAATTATCATATTATAATTTTTATCACTAATTAGTAGGTAATCAGTATTACATTATAAAATTAAAACGCGCTTTACTAGTGGCCATCATTCAACATTCACTTCGTTAAATTTTTAGTCAAAATTGGTTCATAAATCCTAGCAAATCTATTTTAATGGAGTCATCAGGTTGCTAGATTTATTGGTTTTGGAATAAAAGGTAAAGGAACTATTTCTACAAGATAATTAAAATCCTTGTTACATTAACAATGTGAAAATATCACTTCTTGTACCAATTTATTTGTAATTATATAATGGGTGCAATCACTTATTATTCCGAAACTAATTCTTCTTTTTAATTAATGGCGTTGCCCATGTGGATTTCGCCAGAATCCAGTTTGGTTCCCATTATATAAATAAGAACTACCAAATGTAGCATAGATCATGCCAATCAATAAATTGTCAGAGAAGATTAGGCTTTGCTTTATAAAATAGGTGTAATAAGAATATAATAACCCAAGATTTGGCTGTATGGCTTAGTTCCTTTGCCTGTCTCATGTACGAATCTACTACTACTACTAATTGTCAACGTCAAAAATGTCAAATAAGGGCGGGAAAGTGGGCGCGAACATTTGAAATTATTTCAGGAAATTTTTAAATTATTATTAAACTCTGTGCCAAGCGGCCCTTTTCTGTTATTAATCTTTCAATTTATATATTTTTTCAATGAATGAAGAAAGCGGCGGGAGGAATCCCGTCAATTCCAAAGTTGGAAAACGCAAATCTGACAATATTGAAAACTGTCCCCCTCACAAACTCTCTGCAAATTTTATTTCTACCAGAAGAGGGTTATTTAAGGACTATAACCATATTTACAGCGAAGACAGAAAAAATGAGTATCCCATTTTATTATCCTCAATATCACCCAATACTAAATTAGATCTAATAAAAACCAATTCAATACTAAAGACATGTGCTGGAATTTTATATGTTAAACCTGTTGGAAACTACATAATTAAGGTGTTTTTTAGCAATAAAAATGACGCTAATACCTTTTTACTGGGAAAGTCTTTCTTGTCAAAGCACAGCTGGCAAGCTAAAATCCCATTTGATCACATTGAAAGTTTGGGTATCATAAAAGTTCCAATTGAAATTACAGAAGAAGATTTATTGAATAATTTAAAGTCTAACAATGAAATAATTGGTGTGAAGCGTTTCTTAAGAAAAAATACTGATGGTTCATTGATTCCAACTCCAACAGTACTTATTACTTTCCTTGGCACAACACATCCCGATCATGTAATTTTTGATTTCATTTGGTTTGAAGTGAAAGAATACATTAAGCCCATTAGACAATGTTTTGTCTGTTATAAATTTGGCCATGGGCGTGGATCATGCAAAAGTTCTCAAGTTTGCTCCATCTGTACCGGAAATCACTTTTTCAAAGAATGCAATAACAAAGATAACATAAGATGTGTAAATTGTAGTGGAGCTCATATAGCCGTAAGCAATTCATGTCCTATCAAAGCTGCCAAAAATCAAGAATTAAAGGACAGAATTAGCGGTAAACAGACATATGCTACTGTAACAGCCAAAATTAGTTCTCCAGCTTCAATTGTACCTTCAAGTGTGCAATCTTCTTCTACAAGCATGAAGCCAAAAATTTTCAGTAATTTGAAACTTTTAAATGCACCTCAGAAACGTGTATTATATACAGACATTATAAATTCAGATGAGGTCATAAGAGTTATAACAAAAACTCTGATAGATTTAAATAAGTCTGGTAATGCTATTTCATCTAAACTAATAAAAGAACTGCTTATTTCCAACTTCACAGCATAACTTTATGGATCGTGACATTGGAATTAAGCAACTCAATATCATTCATTGGAACTGCCGTAGCATTCTTAGTAAATTGGACCAATTAAAACAATTTATTCATTCTCACAGTTATGAAATTGATATAATTCTAATAAATGAAACATGGCTTGATTCGTCCAAAACACTAAAGATTCCTGGTTATAAAATAGTGCGAAGGGACTCTGATCATCCTCATGGGGGTATTGCAGTCGCTATTAAAGAGAAGTTTTTATATAACGTTACTGATACTCCAAGTAATTATCATTTTCAAAATTTATTAATTTCATTAACAAGTGATCAATTTTCCATCGATATCCTTTGTTTGTATATTCCTCCTCCTCCTAATGGTAAATTTAATGCCAGAATGCTTAATAATTCTTTTTCTTTTATTTCTAGCCATAATTATTTGATTCTTGGTGATTTTAATGCACATCATGCAGCTTGGGGCTCCAGGTACAATGACAGTCGAGGTAATATTATCAGTTCCTTTATTGATGCTCATAATCTCGTTTGCCTAAATGATTTTTCTGTTACAACATTTGCACCATATGGTCAAAATGGCAATGTTTCGGATCTGGCCTTTGCATCTCCATCTATTAGTTCCAGTTGTTCATTTTCTGTCCATGACGATCTACTGAGCAGTAATCATTTTCCTATTTTTGTCAATGTTTATTATAATGATTATTCACAATACTATAGTAACGATACTCATAAGTTGTCTTCAAACTCCCATAACATTTCTGATTCGACTTCTCTTTTGCCAAATATCAACTATCAGAAAATAGATTGGACCTTATTTTCACAAGCTTGTGATAAAGAATTTTCTTCATTGTCCTTAAATTCTGACTCTTTACAAAATTATAATTTGTTTATCGACACTCTCCGTAAAATACTGTTAACTTTTTCTAAGAAGTCACATCCGACTTGCCATAATAAAAAACGCAAATTCAATATTTGGTGGAATGATTTTTGTACTCGAGCTGTCAATGAAGCAAAACTAGCTTTTTCTTCTTATAAAAAATATCCTAGTCTCGAAAACTATTTACTATTCAAACGATTTGATGCCAAAAAGAGAAGAACTATATTAGAACAAAAACGTTTAGGCTGGACTAATCTATGTAGTTCATTTAATAGGTTGACACCAGTTAAATTTATATGGGACCATATCAAAAGATTTAAATTTGCCAAATTAGGCTATAATACTTCTAAATCTCAATTTTTCAAAAATCCTTCTAATGCAACAGCTTTCTTAAATAAAATTACATCAACAACGTCCTCTGTTTCTTCTAACTACATTAGCCCATGTTTTTCTTCTGAAGGTTCCGAGACAGCAAAATGGATGCTAGATCCATTCGAATTACATGAATTTGATTCCGCGTTAGATAACAAAAAGAATTCGTCACCTGGTGCTGATAACATCCCATATTCTGTTATAAAACATTTACCTAAGGCTGTAAAAATAATCGTTTTAAATATTTATAATCAATTATGGTTGTCTAACGTTATTCCACCTAGTTGGAAATTTCAACTGATAGTCCCAATTTTAAAGCCTAACATGAACTCCAATAATTTAGATTCCTATAGACCGATATCTCTAACTTCTTGTTTCGCAAAGTTATTTGAAACTATGCTCAAAAATCGTCTAGAATGGTTTGTTGAACATAATTCACAAATTCCAGATTATCAATTTGGTTTTCGTAAAGGAAAGAATACAATGTATAATTTAAGTTGCCTTATTGGCGATATCCAAAATAGTTTCAGGAAAAATAAATCTACTTTAGCTGTATTCTTAGACATAAAAGGAGCTTTTGATAATATCAATCATGTATACTTAATCGAAAGTTTATACTCATTAGGAATTCCCAGTTCAATTCTATCCTGGATCTTTAAATTTTTAAACAACCGTTCTTTATCTTTAAAAGTTAACAATAGTATTTTTGGATCGAAGAATTCTTTCAAAGGTACTCCACAGGGTTCTGTATTGTCCCCTTTAATTTTTATTCTTTGCATGATTAATTTCATGAAAGCTATACCTGATTCTGTTAATTATTCCTTTTACGCTGATGACTTAGTTATTTATTTAGAGTACGATGATATTTCTCAAGGAGTGCACTCTATGAACAGTTGTCTTAGTAATCTAAGTAATATGCTTAGCAATTACCTTCAGCTTGAAGTAAATGTAGATAAGAGTTCTGTTATGGTCTTTGAACTAATCAGTCGCACAATATCTCCTCGCATTTTTTATAATAATTCAGTGATTCCTTATCGAAACACTGTTAAATATCTGGGTATCATGCTTGATTCTGATCTGTCTTGGGAGTCACACATAACTTACATTTGTAAGAAGGCTGAACTTCGTTTAAATATCTTAAGGTCTTTGGTAGGGGTAAGTTGGGGGTCTGATCCAAAGATTTTAAAAAACTTGTATATATCTATTATTCGTAGTCAATTCGATTACGGTTGTATTTTTTATGCACATGCATCAAATCATTTGCTGCGTAAAATCGATGTCTTACAGAATAAATCTTTACGTGTTATTACCGGCGCTATGATGTCGTCCCCCATTAATTCGCTTGAAGTCGAGTCTGGGATACCTCCTTTAATGGTACGACGTAGTTACATTACGGAAAAGTTCTGCTTAAATTTAGTTAGTCGCGAAAATGTTATTGTAATCCGCTACTTACAAAACTGTAATATTCCTAATTATAATAACATTCCACTCAGAATTGCCCCCACTTTGACTGATTCTATTACATATTTAAATTTCGAGTTTCAGGACATTGTGCATTGGACGAAGTTAAGCCCTTGTTTTTCATATAATTTTCAGTCTTTGCTACGAAACATTCCTGTAACTTTGTCTCGTTTCGACTCTAAACTCGATTTTTATATGTTTTTAGATGAAAAAAGCGACTATATTAAAATTTACACCGATGGGTCGAAAAGTAAATCTCGCACTAGTTTTGCTTTTTATGATTCTACAAACAAAGTTGGTAAAGTCTATTCTTGTGATACACAGTTTTCAATATTTTCTGCCGAAGTTCTAGGTATGATCTATGCCTTAAAATATATTTCATGTAATTTAAATTTTCTAAATTCATCAAAATTTTTAATTCTTTGTGACTCAATGAGTGCTCTTCAAGCTCTAGAACAAAAAAGTATTAATTCTAACAAAAATTACCTTCTTTATGAATTAAGACACTTAGTAGTATTATTACAAAACATTAATATTGTAATCGAGTTCTGCTGGGTTCCAGGACACTCTGGTATTTTTGGTAACGAGTTTGTAGATAAACTTGCACGTTCTGCTCCAAACATTATTACAATAAACGACTATAAAATTCCTTTATGTGATTTAATCACTTATTTAAAAGACAACATGATCAAAAGATGGTGTTTATCATTAGATAATTTTCGCGAAACTAAAGGTAAATGGCATGCCGAGATTGTACCTGTACCCAACACTACAGCTTGGTTTGAAAAATCAAAATACTTCGGTAGGCAATTTATAACTAGCTTCTGTAGATTAAGAATAGGTCACTGTAAATTTCCATCTCATCTTCACCGTCTTAGATAAGAAGTAACAATGCTATTTGTAAATATTGTAACTTCACAAATTGCGATCTTGATCATTTATTTTTTAATTGTCCATATTTCAATATACAACGCCTTCTGTTTATTAGTTTATTTTCTGAAACAATGCCTTCCAAAAATTTTCCTCTAAATGTAAAAGAGTTATTGAAGATACAAGAGATTTATTGTATTATTTATAATTTTTATGTCAATACTTTTGGTCCCTTATAACTTTAAATTTAGTGTACTTGTAAAAAAAAAAAAGTTGTTTGTATTTTTTATTATTAATGTGTGTTTTTCGTTTAGTTTTACTGTAAGTTTTATTATATTATTTAAGTTCATTGTGTTAGTTTGTAGTATAATTCTGTTAAGATTTCTTTTCACATTTAATGTTTAAGCTGATGGTCAGTGTAGCCAAAGCTTCAATAAAGAAAAAAAAAAAAAATGTCAAATAACATTGGCCTATATTGTCGCGTGTTTCTGTTTTTATTCCATCATGTTTTATCACTAATTTTCTAAATACTATAAAGTAGTGTTTTACTTTATTTAAAATAAAATGCTTCGACGGCAGGCGCGTTTGCGCCGTGAGTATTTGTACCGGAAATCAGTGGAAGACAAACAAAAAAGCATACAAGCCAAGAAAGACCAACTCAAGAGAAGCTTAGAGGAAAATATCCCCATTCATGGTGATTTAAGAAAGGAAGCGTTAGCATTGCAAAAACGAATAGAATATGAAGATAAAGGTGAGTGTAGTTATCGCTAATAAAACACAAAAATCTTTTGAAATATTCTAACCTCACTTTTGTTACTGTTTCATCAGTCGTTCAAACTACAGTGAATTCATTTATCATGATTATTATGTTGTTTTACAGTAGTAATAGTCAATTATTAATCTGCTATCTCTTTTAACCCAACCCACAATTTTGTTCTTTATTGCTTGCAACTTATTTTCAATAAATTATGACTGTTCCAAAAGCATATACTATTACAATAACAGTAATGAATTTCCGAAGGTCCCGAAAGAGCTGCAGTTATTGGAGGTTTTAGTGGTGGTGCTAATACACTCAACTCCCAAGATGATGAGTACAGATATGCAGGTGTTGAAGATCCCAAAATTATGATCACCACATCAAGAGAGCCCAGTGCTCGGCTTAAGATGTTTGTTAAAGAACTAAGGTAAGGTATTTTTTTTATTATAAAAAATATATAAAGTTCACTAAATGTTGAACCAGGGGCTTAAAACTATTGTTATACATAGGTATATAAATAAATTATGTGATAAAATACACCATAGATAATTTTATATCTATATGTTTATGATCATGTTTTTAAATAGTGAAACTCCCTAGATTTTCAGTTATATCATGTGTTTAGTATGTGATACAATTGTGTGTATAATTGAGTGTGATTAAACTAATTACAAGAAAGTGAACTGTCTAAAACTTCTTATTACAATTTTTATAATTTTTTAACCTTAAGTTTACCTAATGCTATTAATTAAATGAAAAAACATTACAATTAACTAATTTCATTATTAATTAGGAAACAGTTAACATCACCTTTATTTCATTCACAAAGGTAATAGGTATATTTATTAACAATTTTCATAAAACACTATAGTTTAATGATTAAAATGAAATAAAATAAATATGAGATATTTAATATACATTATTTACAGCAGCTACATATTATGCAAGTCTTGATGGTTCCACTGTTGTGTAAAAAGTTTTGTATTAAACAGTGAAAATAAAAATATATTATTACTACAATTATGTCATATAATAAAACTTTTGATTTTCCAGATTAATATTCCCAAATAGTCAACGCATGAACCGTGGTGGTTATGAAATGTCCCAATTGATACATGCATGTAGAGCTAATGAAGTGACAGATTTTATTGTAGTACATGAACACAGAGGTGTGCCAGACAGTTTGGTAAGTAAATACATTTTTAATGCAATTTTATTTTTCAACTTTCAGTATAATACTAAAGATTAAAACATTGCAATGGGCAACTAGAAACCTATTCTTGGTGCAATTGTGAGATGCCATAATATATTATTATTTTATTTCATTGTCATTACTATGTCACAATATGTAAAATGTAACCTAAAACTATAGTCATATTTGTACCCGAATAAATCATTCATTCATTAAATAATTTCATTTATAATGCTTAATTGTATAATTAACGTTTGTCCTTTATAGGTTATTTGCCACTTGCCTTATGGTCCGACTGCATCATTCACATTGTCTGGTGTGGTAATGCGCCATGATATACCTGACATTGGGCCCATGAGTGAACAATATCCACATCTTGTGTTTCATAACTTCAAATCTGAGTTAGGTAAGGTTAATTATTTTGCAGTACATAATATTATGGGGTGCTATAACTACATTGGATTGGTAAAATTAACATTATTATTAGATCCAGTATTTACATAGTATGTGCAATTTGATGAAATTCCATTTCAACCACATCAAAGTCAAGTAATTACTCAGTAAATGTGACAGTGAAGTTTATAATTGGTACTTCAAAAAATAATGTTGTAAAAATGGTAATGAAAATTTTAGTTTAAAAAGCAATTATTTTGCCACTAGTGTAATCTAAAGGATAAGGTTTCATGTAGAATATTATTTCAGGTTTGAGGACAATGAGTATACTGAAATATCTTTTCCCAGTACCAAAGACAGATTCAAAGCGAGTGATCACTTTCGCCAACCATGACGATTACATTTGCTTCAGGCATCACACATACAGAAAGGTAACTTATACCATATGAAAAAAAAAAGCATTGTATTTGGTGGTAGATCTATTTAGACAAGGTTGTTTAGTGCCTGGAAAAAAGCATTATAAAAAAGTTCCAGAAACATCCTGATCTGTGGATGGCATTAGAGAAGAAAATTATCAAAGTTCAGGGTTAAATTGTTTTTTTTTTTGTTGATAGTCAGGCAAAGAAATCGAATTGACGGAAGTAGGCCCCCGCTTCCAGATGAAACTGTACGAGATCAAACTCGGTACTCTCGACCAACTGGCCGCTGCCGACACGGAGTGGGCGCTCCGTCCCCACATGAACACCGCCGCCAAGAGACGGTTCCTCAGTGACGACGACGGCTGGCACGACGAACAAGACTTATAAATATATCTATATTTTTAATATACACTGAGTTTTATTTTTTGCTAGCTGTTTTCCCGCGTAAATTAAGTCTGTGTCATGTAACATAGGGGAAGAAATTTTAAAATCGGTCCAGTGCATAGTTTCGGTGCACTTTCGATATAAATAAACAAATCTCTTTATATTAGAAGAAGTAGAGATGACATATAATATACTGGTATTATAAAATGTTACATTTTTTAAAAATAAAGTCATAATTTTACTCAACTTTATCACGACGCTAAGTAGCGTGGTAGTTCTACCATTATACCACATGAATAAGTGTTGCCAATAGCCATATAAAACAGAAAGGTAGTTTTGCCCGTTTTTACGATACACGCAATACCAGTCTTATTTTATTGATAAAGATTATTAAAATTTGAGTGCACATATGCAGTTATTATCGATCGAGGACAAGCACAAATAATTAATTCTATATACATACACGTTATAGACATGCCGGTGCCAGAGTTTTTAAAGACCCCCTTGACGATGTACGATATTGCTGAACAATACTGGGACCTGAGGGCATATCCCACACCATATTTTTTCTCTCTTCTCGCACTAGTGTCCGAAGACAAGTTGGAGAGAGACAAATGCATAGAGCTCAGTACCCCTGAAGGGCAAGAGGACTGGTTGAACTACTGTCGAAGACCAAGAAGAACAGTTCTTGAGGTATTTGTAAATGTATATTAGTCAACCACTATGCGTCATTCTTTCTTTCTTAGCCTGTTTGAAATTGATTACGTGTATTTTTTCTATTCCTTAAGTAAATCATCTTGTTACTTTAAATTTATTTACAAGGTGTAAAGAAATCGTTTCATTCGGCGCCTCGATGAATATGCTGTTACTCTTAGAAATTGTCGTCTTACTAGTTAAAATAAGTAACTTTATGTTGTACCAGCGGCTTCGCCCGCGTGGTCCCTAGGGAAAAAAGTATCCTATTATCTAAGTCAGCTAATACCCTATCTGTATACCAAATTTCATCAAAATCCGTTCAGTAGTTTCTGCGCGATTAAATTTTTTTAATTAGGGATGACTGAGTGTTATAAACGTAAGAGTGTCTAGACAAATACAATCAGAAAGCTTCGAACTGCTAAGCTATCGGGAGTTACACGTGTTATTGCGAGTCAACCATAAAAGATAGACATATGCTGTCGTGGGATATTTTTTATATAATTTTAAGGAGAACATTTCCGTCATACATGATTTCTGGGTAGCTTTAACCATTAAGGTTGCACACGCGGCGGAAGCTTTAAAAATGGAGTAACTTCTCCCGTTTTCCCAACATTTCCCTTCACTGCTCTGCTCTTATTGATTATAGCTTGATAAAAAGTATACCATAACCAGCTCAGGAGTATGAAAAATATTTGTACCAAGTTTCGTTAAAATCAGTCGAGTAGTTTTTGTTTCTATAACGGTTATACAGACAGACAGACACACAGACAAAAATTTTACTGATTGCATTTTTGGCATCAGTATCGATCCCTAATCACCCCCTGATAGTTATTTTGGAAATATATTTCATGTACAGAATTGACCTCTCTACAAATTTATTATAAGTATAGATAATCATAATGCAATAGGTAAAACTACCAATAAACGTCTGTTCTTTCTACCTAGTAAGTGCACCGAACTAATGAAGAGCTCGAAGATGTAGTAGTTAGCGCGTTCGATCTGCGATACAAAAGTTAAACAACTTCCGTAAGGGTTGGTCATGGGATGGATGACCGACATTTATTATCACGAGCTTCTCCGTGCTTCTGAAATCGTTAGTCGTTAACACCTAGCAATCCGCACTGGGCATGCGTGGTGGGTTATCCCCTCCCTCCTATTGCATTACATACATTAATTACATCAATAGACTAATGATCATGATGGACTGCACCAATAAAAATACCCTACTTTCAGGTTCTCCACGACTTTCACAAATCCGCATCGAAGCTCACTATACAAATAATATTCGAACTATTCTCCAGTATAAAAGCTCGGTCGTTTTCTATAGCGAGCAGTTGTCTACCCAACAATGGTAATAAAATAGTTCTACTGGTGGCAGTGGTGAGATATTACACCAAGTTGAAGCGGGAGAGGCTCGGGCTGGCCTCCAACTGGCTGAAGAATTTGAACGTTGGCGATAGAGTGTACGGGTGGATTAAGAAAGGGAGCTTGGTTTTCCCTGATCATGTAAGTAAACATCATTATAAAGCTCTAATTCCTATATTTTTCATGATTATTAGCTCTATGACTTAATAAAAAAATAGATGTCACCATGTCAGAGATTCCGTATTCGATACCTGGTCGGGTCAATGATGAAAATATTTATCCATTGGTCTGGGTGTTATTTGTTACCTTGGTTATTTCAAATTTTCATAATAAAAGCACTTAAGCTACTTAAAGTTAAGCTCTGAGCAATAAAAAAATACTATACCTTTTCTAAGTTATTTTTTTTTACCACAGACCATTCCTCACATCCTGGTTGGGCCGGGCACTGGACTTGCGCCCTTCAGGAGTTTACTACAAGAGCGAAATTATCTAAACACACTGAACAAAGATAACATGCTCATGTTCTTTGGCTGTCGATACAAAGACAAAGATTTCCATTGCAAAGAAGAATTGGAAACATATGTACAGGAACAGAAACTATCATTGTACACTGCATTCTCTAGGGATCTAGATAAGAAAGTGTAAGTTATTTTTATTTCTTTCTATTTCCTTTTCGTGGGTTTTTTTTTGGACTAATGAAAAGTATCTTATCAGACTATGGACTATATGTATGCAAAATTTTATCAAAAACAGTTAAATCTGTGGTGTTAATAAAAACAAACATTCCGTTTATCAAAAGGAAATAGATAGAATTTTATAAAAACACATCGAAAAATAGCGCGTAGCTCGGTGGCGTAGTGGATATACGCCGCGGCACGCGATCGTTGTCGTTAAGCAACTTTTGCAAGGGTCGGTCACGGGATGGGTGACCAAAAAATTATTATCTCGAGCTACTCCGTGTTTCGGAAGGCACGTTAAGCCGTTGGTCCGGCTGCATTTGTAGTCGTTAATACCCACCAAATCGCATTCATAAGGAAGGCCTGAGCCCCTGCAGTGGGTACGAAATTAAGGGCTGATGATGATGATGATGATCGAAAAATAATGACATTATAAGAAAAGATAATTTGTCTAAAATCAAAATATGGATTACCATAAAATTTATAAACAATATTCGTCCTTACAGTTCCATCACTTCAAATATTAACATAAAAAATGTTGTATTCAAAAATTCAAAATAAAAAAAAATATATATATATATATATATATATATATATTCTATTCAAAATATATATATATATTCTATTCTATTCTATATGTTCAAATAAATAAATACAGTAATATATTTTCAGATATGTACAGCATAAGATTAAAGAACAAAGTGAATTGTTATGGCACCTCGTCAAAAACAGAGACGCTTATATTTATATATCTGGCAACGCAAAGAATATGCCTGATAATGTGAAGGAAGCTTTCGTAGAAATATTCAATGAAATTGGAGGGCTGACCAGCGAACAAGCCAAGGATATGCTTCACAATTTAGAAAACACTGGAAGGTTGCAAGTTGAAGCTTGGTAGAATAAATTTTATAAAAAGAAAATCACCCTTTTTATTTACGAGTATACTTTTTATTTGGGTATGATGTGTCTAAACTTTATGTCATAGATAACCTTAATTACCTTATGAAATAAAAAATACATGAGTTATTCTTCACAGTTTATTATCACTTTGAAATTACAACAAAAGTGAATCGATACAAAAAAAAGTCAGCCAAAACTTTCACAGCAAGTCTTAATTCCTATTTCACATAAGACTATACTTAATACTATTATATACAATGACTTTAAAATAAAGTATATCTTTATCATGCACACGGTTTAAGACAGCATAGTTTGGCTGCGTGCATATGAACGAAAACAGTGTTGTATTCAATTTTGTTAAGCCAACTTAATATTCAATACAGAAACAAATCAATCGGGAGTGTAAAAATATTTATTTGATATAAATTATTTCAAGTATTTAAAATTGGAACGAGGTTGGCACAGCCAGTACAGTACTGGTACTAGTTGTTGGGCAGCCCCCACAGCTTGAGCGCGCCGGAGTCCCGCTTGCGCTCGGGCGGCTCCTTGTCCTCGCACGCGTACGCGGCCAAGTACCGGCGCGGGTGCCACGCCACCGTGAACGTGGACGCCGACACGGGGATCTCCGCCACCTTCTCGCCTGTCGCACGAATTAAGTAGTCGACGCCGGTTTTAATAAAAAAAATAATTTATTTTATTAAATGAACAGAGTAACAACTAATGATCAATCTTTTTACCTTATCCACTAGTATTTATATAATAATAAATGCTTACATCTAAATATTTATTGAGAGTAGCTCCTGCTGCTGACAAAGGAAATTGTTGTGGGGTTAGCCACCTTAATACACGCCCACCGCCCGTTTGTTTACCCGCCAACTAGTCTTCTTCTTCTTTTATTAATGGCTTATGCGCATTTCGCACAATTTTGCCAATGTCAAGTGAATAAATTAATTTTAACATTTAAAATGAAAATGAAATTAATGAAAGATGGCGATCATCAGTACAATAGTTCAATCTTTTTTCTTCAACTAGTCGACTCGCATAGCGCGGGTGCGATGACGTTTGTCAACGAATACTCCGTTTCACGCAATTTGCATTTCCGAATTATTAAAAACACCGTTATAAAAACTTTATTTAAATTTTTCAATAGCCATAATTGCTGAAATCTAATTCACTAAAGATCAAAACTTCGATACTTGTAACGAAAATTGGAACTTTTTTTTATAGGGATCGAATCGATAAAATCGTTTTAATCGATTTATGTATCCGACAATCGTTTCACAATATTTTAGTAATTGTTGTCGTAATAATTACACTTTAATTGTTTTTTTTCTGACTCGGGTTCATATTGTTGATGAATGAATCTTTTTCTTTTATCCTCTTTTATACATAGACCTCGAAATCGAAATGAACTTAATATATAGTATCGAGTTTTTTATATATACTATTTTTCATTACCACGTCACTGAGAAAACTTCAGATCTCAAACGTCACCGTACCCATGCTATGTGAAAAACATTTATGAAGTGACCAAATAAAGTCCATAGTAGGCACGCCTCCACACGAGTGATCAAAGATGTCGATTGACAGAAAGAGATGGCGAGATGTTGCAAGGCGAACTACGGGTATGTTCCGATATACACTACGACCACTGAACAGTATGACGTCAATTTAGTATACTGGAAGCCCGTTCCTTTATAGCTAGTTATACTGGTGACTTTTTAAAACGGAACGCAGTCCAGTAGGTATACTGTTAATCCTATTTTTTGGCGCCATTTTCAAATTCGTTAATGCAAGGAATATAAATACATATAAAGATTCCCTCTTTTCAAAAGAAAATTAAAAAATTGTATAAAAAAATTATTCATCAATTAAATCCATCTTATAAATAAACGTAAGTATTTTTTTTTGTTTATTTAGAAACTTATCATTTTCTGATTCTGTTTCGACTGATCACGTGATCAAAAGCACTGCGAGCACCTTACCTCGAAGTCTCCAGTGCTCACAGTACAAATATGGCGGCAATTTATGACGTCATAAATTTCCCTAGGGTACTGTAGCAGTGTACTGGCAGTCCATAACGGAACGGATTTTTCAGCAGTAAGACCGCTGCGCAGTGCTCGCAGTGTATATCGGAACATACCCTACATCAGCCACTCCAGCGGATATTGCGTGTTGACCACCACCTCACTCTCACTCCACTCTAGCAAGAGTGTCATAATCCCCGCAAATTGCTAATGCGCCTGGCCGCCATTTTGATGACGTGATTGCGTTAAAAAATCAGTACCGTTAGTAAATAAACACTGAATGACGAGTACACTTATTGAGTAGTGTTGAGATCACACATCATTTTTGTTATGTTTTTGTTGTTACTTGTTATGGTTGACTAAAATAGTAACTAATATATAATAATAAAATATAAATATATCTGATATCTCTCACTTTATTATAACTTTTGGTTATGTTTTAAAAATCTCCTTTCCGTTTTTTATCGCGGTATTACAAAGAACATCTTATTTTTTTTTCCATATACCTCAATATTTACATATTTTTCTACAAAAATTAATGCAATAAATTAACAAACTAAATGATATTAAATTATTATTGCAATATTTTGGGGACTATTTAAAATAATAATTAACTTATCTCCAGCCTCTTGTGCCGCTATCTTAACTTTCTAATTCCATATAACGTCACGCAGGTGTTATTAGAAATATTCCAACGCATTAGCAATTTACAGGACTTATACGACTGAGAAGAAGATCATTATGTAATTGTTTAAGAGCTGTTTGTGCCGCGCCTTCTTTAATTTATTGGCTTCATAATCTTGAGGTGGTTATAGTTGTTTAGCGTCAGCAAGATGAGTAGTGAACGCAAATGGTTTGCAATATAACTGAATAAATCATTAGTGACAGAGCCTTGTTGCTGCCACTAAATACGCCTAAAGTAAGCGTTAGGCGTTACTTAGTGTCAAATAGGAAAATATCACCTAAGACTAGGATGTATGGGCCGGTAGCCTAATTGTCTAAATTTCACGTTTATCACGATTACTTTGAATTTGAATCTTGATCGCGATGTATTTTTATAGATACAGATTAAACGATAACGTTTAGTTCACGTCAACGGGAATTGTCTAAACAAAGCGATAGTTACAAACATCTTTGAACGTTTGAAAAGGATTGTGATACATTTTCATATAAAAAATAAGGCCACAGAACCCTTTGCTTTAAACTAAAAACAACATTGATGATCAAATGTCAAAAGTAGTGTAAATAAACGTACCAGTCTCTGTATCACCGATGTCTATGATGTGATCCTCGCTAGCTGATGCGAGCAGTCGACCGTCGAAGCTGAACGAGAGGGTTCGTACGGGCCATTCCAACCTGACATACAACAAACACAAAATAATTATATGGATCTTCACAAATTACCTGGAAAAAGTAACTTTATCTGGTACCAAGTTGAAATTGAACTATCAACTATCGTCAGTGCTTTTACAACTGAGATTTTTTTTTTCTATTTTTTGGGTAAGACAAACAATGACAAAATACAATGTATATTATACACAATATTACAAAACAAAATAATAATTTTACCATCAATGACATTTACCACAATTAATTAATAAAATTCATAAATTTAATTCATCATTTATGCGCCAGATGGGAGCAAAATATCTGGTCAAAATTTCATGAAATCGGGATTACCCGGAACAAAAATCGATATATCCATCCTTAGCCTCGGAAGAATATCGATGATTAGCAAAAAAATAATAATGCCATCATTTCTAGGTCGTTTCAGCCGTTACCGAGCGATCGAATTGATTTAATGATTTTATCAATTATTTAACATTCGGCGGGACATTTCTTTCTTTTTCGGGACAATCCAGACCGATCCCGACCATCCAGGTACAGACCTCGAGAAGACCCTGAGGCAGGCGAGCTCGTGCACGTCCCACAGCGAGACGAGCGCGTCCGCGGAGCCGGTGGCGAAGTACCGGCCCGTGGGGTCGTGCTCGATGCAGATACACGTGCCCGGGTGCGCCTTCAGCACCGTCTGCAGCTCCAGCCCGGGGTACCTGCACGTCACCATATTTGTGTTTATCTGCATTATTTGTCATTCAATTCTGTTGCCCGAATATGATGGAGCTAATTGTTGACTTTTCGATGCAAGGAACGATTGAATCTTTTCTCTTTATAATATTAGTATAGATGAATTGTAAAATATATTTACTACTTATTACCTATTTACTATAATAAACCTTATTACGTGAACATAAGCATTAATTTTAAGAAACTGCGTTCATATTACAGGGTAACCCAATATTGCTAGTAAGATAGATTACTACTTTGGGTCAATGATGCCAGTGTCACATTGCATTGGTTAATTTTATAGCAGACTCAATACCCAAATTAAGAATAAATATCAATGGAATATATACATCCATTGATATTTATCAGCAAACCCTGGTATATGGATTATAAATGATTACCATGCAAGTTACTTAATATCCCACTGAACAGTTCCCTAGGGACATGCGTGCCAGCGGTTGCACTCGCCTGGATCTGTATATATAACCTTCCCCTTGGATCACTTTGTATATCGATGAAAACTGAATTAAAATCCATTGTGAAGTTTAAAAGATCTCAATTTACAGATAGTTGGACACAAATTTATTTATACCATGTATAGATACATTTCACTAACTCAAACTAAATTTAGTCTTAAGTACAACAGAATTGGCATATGTCATTACCAAGTCAAAACAGCTACAATTCACCATTAATATTTCTGTTTTAAATGGTTTTAATTTATAAAACTTACGTCAAAATATGTACACAGCCCAAGCCATTTGTTAAGTAAAATAAATCTGAAGATAAATTCCATGATATTTCATTTACTTCAAAATTGAATTGTTCTTCTAAAACCTGAAAATAAATTAAAATTTTATTTATTATATCTGAACAACTTATCATTCACAGTGGTAAATTTTGAGTAGATTGCCTGAACATTCATGAAAATACACTCTGTGGTTAATATGGGATGAGAGCAATGTATGAGATGTAGCCTAGTAATGATTTATTATATGATGTATCAGCTTGATGGCACAGTGGGTAAAAGTGGTTTGCACTGCTAAGGTTAAACATAGACCGGTTGTAGCACAGGTGAAAAAAACTTACTATCACAATAAAGACATTATTGGTAAGCTGATGATGACATATCTGCCAGAATATAATTAACTCTGTGTATAATTAAGTTATAAGTTAACAGTAATGTGTTGAAGGAACAATACTTACTACTTTATATGTCTTGGTATCTATAAATGACACTAAGTCCTCTTTGTTACCAACAGCAATTGTATTCCCATTAGGGGACCAGGCTATATTAATATTTTCTCCTTTGGTGGCTATTGTTGCAGCACATTTGTGTGTTCTGTTGATAAAATAATTCAATTACTAAAATATGCCTAAAAATGTAATTCATTTATTTGAAAACAATAGCACTACACAAATATGTTTATTCTAAATATAAAAAGTAACAACTGCATTGATGTAACATTGCATAAATAAAAACAAATATTTATTACCTTGTGTCCCAAATTCTTACAGATTTGTCTCCACTAGCGGTACTGAGGAGATCAGGATGTGAAGCATGCCAACACAATTGGTCCACAGAGCCTGTATGACCACGAAACAGAAAATCTTGGCTCTAGAAATAAATGCCAAACCTATAGAACTTATATAAAAATTCTAAAATATTTTGCTTAAAATATTTCCTTAAAATATTTTGAAGAAGAGGCTTCAACATATTTTAAGGAAAACGTACTTTCAGTAGATTCAAAGAATCTTTAGTAAAAGGATATGGATATGGAAATGAAAAAACAATATAACGTTTATCTATAGAATATTTGTAGAGCGATCACTTACCAATCTATGTCGGTCTAATGTAAATATAGCTACATTCTTGTCGTATGAACCAGATGCAAGCCTTCTTCCATCACACGACCAGCCTACTGAATGTACTTTCGAGCTGTGAGCAATGTATTCACGGATACTGTTATGTGATGAGAAATAATTACGTAATTCTGCTAAGTCTTCTATTGCTGCTTGCTTTGGTTCCTTCATAATATCAGAGAAATAATAATCTGAAAATAATAAACAAAAATGCAAAAAGAAACGTGCAAATGACAGACAAACAAACAATGCGCCGGTTAGGGTTGTCGATCTATATCGACTACAAATAATTACTCATTGTATCGATATTTCATCGTATGAAAGCAATAATCAATATTTTCTATTTTGGTAAAGACCATAAAATGAAACAAACCATTAATGGAAGTTTTAACATAAGTCAATCTACTCACTCAAACCTTTCATTTCTCGATTGATAAGGCTTAGTGCTAACATAAGTCACTATTATACTACGTTAGTGAAAAATGAATTTGCATTCTAAAAAGCGTCGACTGCTAATTTCATTTATTTTGCACTTTTTTAAGTTGTAGATTTTTTTAGAGTAGTTTTTTTTGTTTCTTAAATACGGAGATATGAATAATTAGGAACTATGAGCTATAGTGTTATCTATCTACGATACTTAACTTTTTAATATTACTAAAATAATGAGGAAGTATTAAAATTAACAATATCGCCGAAATGAATATGGATTTTTCATAAATCGAATATTTTTTCTCAAGCCTATTCCGCAGGCTCACGAATTATCCGGATCACGGATACAGCAGTGCACAAGCGTTTACACTTTTTTCATTGCCGCCATCTCGAGCGAAAAAGACAGTCCAGAATAGAGAATAGTTAAATTTCGAATAATGCACAGGCTAGCATTACCTACATATGACCTGACATATCGAACTGGAAAAAATCGGATTGCCGGACCTGAAAATTCAGTGTAGTGCACAAACGCCCCGTCAACCAGTATTTATTTGTTACCGGTACAGATTGTCGAACGCAATTACGTCTCCAAATTTGCGGGAAATATACCTACAGGTGGTTTTACAAAAGTAGCGGTAATGACCCTCGAGATTTAAGAATTATAAACTCAAAAATGAGCCTTTATTTTCTTCAATGAAAATACAGCACGAAATCCAACCGACAACATACCAGCGACCATTTGATGGTTTGATTCTGTCACTTTACAGAATTGAAATTTTATTTAAACCCTAGTATTGTATTAAGATTTGCCCGCAGATTCATATTCATATCTCCGTATTTAAGAAACAAAAAAAAACTACTCTAAAAAGATCTACAATTTAAAAAAGTGCAAAATAAATGAAATTAGCAGTCGACGCTTTTTAGAATGCAAATTCATTTTTCACTAACGTAGTATAACAGTGACTTATGTTAGCACTAAGCTTTGTCAATTGAGTTATGAAAGGTTTGAGTGGGTAGATTGACTTATGTTAAAACTTCCATTAATGGTTTGTTTAATTTTCTATTTTGGTAAAGACCATAGATATCTTTCTTGTTTTTAATAAAATGGATTTTTTATGCATAGTAAATGCAAAACAGTGTTTTTTATACTTTGATTTTATGTGAAGTGTTTTATCAAGATATGATTTAAATATAAGAATTGTATTGTATCCCTAGCGTCAAAGCAATTCAGGGTTACCAACTACTAGAAAAATAATACCCTAAAGCCTAAAGCAGGGAATTCATTAGACGAGCATGCCTGCGGGCAAATCTTAATACAATACTAGGGTTTAGATAAAATTTAAATTCTGTAAAGTGACAGAATCAAACCATCAAATGGTCGCTGGTATGTTGTCGGTTGGATTTCGTGCTGTATTTTCATTGAAGAAAATAAAGGCTCATTTTTGAGTTTATAATTCTTAAATCTCGAGGGTCATTACCGCTACTTTTGTAAAACCACCTGTAGGTATATTTCCCGCAAATTTGGAGACGTAATTGCGTTCGACAATCTGTACCGGTAACAAATAAATACTGGTTGACGGGGCGTTTGTGCACTACACTGAATTTTCAGGTCCGGCAATCCGATTTTTTCCAGTCCGATATGTCAGGTCATATGTAGGTAACGCTAGCCTGTGCATTATTCGAAATTTAACTATTCTCTATTCTGGACTGTCTTTTTCCGCTCGAGATGGCGGCAATGAAAAAAGTGTAAACGCTTGTGCACTGCTGTATCCGTGATCCGGATAATTCGTGAGCCTGCGGAATAGGCTTGTGAAAATATATTCGATTTATGAAAAATCCATATTTATTTCGGCGATATTGTTAATTTCCGATATATTGATAATCGATTTTTATTGTAGAGTGATATTTTGGATTATGATTTAATATAGTTGGTAAATATCGCTGCATATGCCTTGGCAAACTCGATATAGCTCTAATTTGATAGTCGTATGGTTTTAGTATTGATGCTTTGCTAGATTCTAGAACCATATTAAAATTTCGATCCCAAAACAATATCGAATCAAAAGCATCGATAATTTAAGGTAAGTAACAGATAAGCGTTGTTACGCTTCCATGCCTAATCAACTGAACCCATTTTAATGAAATTGGATACAGAAATAGACTTAACTTTGAGAAAGGACATAGGCTACCTTTTATCGCGAAAAAGAGGTGGAAATAGGGTATGAAATTTTTGCATGGAAATTTGTATTTAGGATATAATTAAATTGATAATTATAAATTAAAATTTTGATAATAGAAGTATTCTAAAAGAAAAAGAATTCTGTTAAAAGAACCTATACCATGCGTATAAAATCACGGCCAAAAGTATTTATAACTATAGGTATATAATACAGCCAACTGGTCTTACAATTATTATAGGATGGCTGATTTAAATGCCACCGTAAAGTTTATTTAACATATTAATTCTCCGCTTACACGGCACTTATTTTGATTTGTTTACGAAATGGCGTCAACGATTGGTCTATGTCTGTAATCGCTTAAAGTTGTTTTTACAAAACTCCGAAGAAAAATTGCACAATTATAAATTTAAACATCAAGTACTAGAACTATCACTAATTTTATTCAAATGTCACCAATATTTTAAGCTATTTTATGTGAATACTGTTCCTAAAATTAGTAATGGTATAAGTTTTTACATCCGATAGTAGTAACAAAAAATGCTTTCGTCCTGCCTCAATTTATTATGGTTTATGTAAAATTATCCTGTCAGGTCATTGTTTAGGTACCTTTTGCTTAGGCGCCATCTCCACGAGCGAGAGAATCGCGGCGATATTATCGTCGTGTCACGTATTTCTATATAGGTACTCTTTATGAACGCGACTCCACACGGCGATATGACGCGCTACTGGTGGCGTTTAAGCCGCGCGCCCGCCGCAGAGCGTGACGTCCTCGCAGCGAGCGCGCGGCGGGCGCGTTTTAAACGTAGCGACATTTCAGCGTTACCAAGCAAGAATATGATTTAATCTATCTGTCGATATTTATAAACAAAACATACGTACAATGTTGGACATCGAAAAGTTTATACTTGAAGTAATAGAAACGCCTGCCCTATACGATGTTTTATTTTCTTAGACGCACCTTTTTCCGCTCTCGTCTGGCACCTAATTGAATTCTTCCAACAAAAAAATAGAACAATGCATCGTCAAGGATTCTGTTAAGAGTCGTCGCAGATAGGCTGCGATTCCGTCACGAGTCGTCGCGGATACGTTGCGATTCCGTTACGAGTCATGATTATACTCAAAAATCTCATCGTACCTAGCGTAAGTAACGTGTAGCTTTAAAGAGCGCTGCTCTAAATTGCGCCGCTCCGCCGAAAAAAACAGACACGTGCACGAGAGAAAAAACAGACAAACTACTTACATAAGTAGCTTGTGCACAATATCTTAGCATTCTTTGTGGTATTGATCAGCGTATCCAAAGAAAATAAATATATGGTTATTCTCCACGGCATCACTACTTCAATAATCCAACAAACACTTAGGTACCCATTACATTAGATTATATTTATTTCAAACTATATAAATTGAATTAAACAATTTTATGGATGTTAATTTCTTTATTACGCCAAATACTGACGGCGCCACACCTTTAGCTGCGTCATGAAGTAGAAAACTGGTCCTAGCCACACGGACACCATAAACATAGCATGTGCGATCTTTTCCTATAGAAAAATTAATAACTTTGTAAGAAATGGTAGAACAAGAATTGTTATATACTTAGACAATTAGGTCAGCATTAAATAAAACAGTCATTAGGTACTTAATATTAAATCATGCTGGCGATCTCTGCCGATTAATTTCATTGCTCAATAAACCAATGAGCGATCAATAAAAATGAGTTTCATAAATCGCATAAATCGAAACGATGCGAGCCCGATCGACTTTGTAAATGAGCTATAAAAACAATGAAAGTGTACGAATTCATAATAATTACGGTTCTCATATTACGACATTAAACGTTTTACACAATCCCCCACCCGATTCCAAAATGTTTAACGGCTACTAGTATGTAACTTTATTTCTCCAACTTACTCCAGCAGAACAAGGATTCCTTGGTGGTGTAGACACCACCAAACCAACTTGTGCAAAGTTTCGCTTTGTTGGTATCGCTGAAGGCATTAGTGCCCTGCGTAAAAGATTTCCACGGCGGATAAACTGCATTTTGGTACGATTGAGAAAGATTTATGCGTTTTGAAGGGAAACCAGAGTACCGATTGAGAAAATCTTGTCAGTAATGTGGTGCAATCTTTGACAGATTGACGTTGGTAAGTTTAATTTTAAAAATTTTATTTTTATTCTTTAAAGGAGTTTTTATTTGGTTAGTTTGTTAGCGATTTTTTTTTTAATCTTCTTAAATTTCATCCAAAAAGAGTAACGCTTATAAATTATCACCAAAACTCCTTGTCATAAAATTATTATACTTAAACAATAGACCACAAACGTAAGTGAATTGTGTAAACGCAAATAGGCCATGATTTAAAAAAGAAGAAGACAAAATCCAACCCAACTCGGGTTGCCCAACGTTCGGGAAGCTCCGAAGAGTCTTCTCGTACCAAGCACCGCAGTGTCTTCTTCTTCTTCTTGGCGACGGGTGTTCTTCGCAACTCGACACTTGGTGCCTGTTTTGCGTGCAAACAGTGGAGGCCTGAGTCCTGCCAACCCAGTTTCTCCAAGAAGAATTGTAATTTCCTGATGTCACTGCAAGTGTCCAGTATTGTCTTTGGGCTACCCAGGTGCACCGCAGTGTCTTAAAAACAAAGTTGTTTAACCAATGTTAGTTGCGATTGATGAAAGAGGTTTATTAACACATTGACAGCAAGCCTCCATAGCAACGTAACTTGTTGATTCTATATCTTAAAAATGTGCTATATTTTATTAAAAATACATTTAATTATCCGTTAATACCTATGTTTCTATTTACTATATCATAAAGTGGCCTCAACAGCGATGCTAGTGATAACGTATGAAACTGAGACGTGGTCACTAGCTGTGGGCCTTACAAATAGGCTCAGAGTCACACAGAGAGCGATGGAAAGGGCTATGTTCGGAGTTTCTCTCCGAGATCGAATCAGATACGAGGAGATTCGCAGGCGAACCGACATAGCCCAAAGAATTGCGATCCTGAAGTGACAATGGGCAGGGAATATAGCTCATAGTACAATGGCCGTTGGGCAGTAAAGGGTGGCGACCACGGACCGGAAAACGGAGCGTAGGCAGGTCTTCAACAACATGGACTGATGATCTGCTCACGATTGCCGAGAAGCGTTTGATGAGGTAGCAAAATGTGGGGGAGGACTTTAACCAACAATAATAATAATATGTCAAATTTCTAGCGTTGATTTTAAGTACGCAATAAAGTTTAAAATAATATGAAGAAATTTGTCAGTTTTGCACAACTTGTCCTCTTTCTCTCGACTTATCGACATTAACTCTTGATTGGTTCACAAACATACTCTGGCGCTAGAGTACCCAAACAAGAGTGCGAAATGGCACATATGCAATGTCGATCGGTCGTGATTGCGTTCTAGAGTAAGGGGGCAAATTTTTGTTAAATATTAACGATTTAATTTATAAATCGATAAACAAAAATACAATTTTTCGATATAATCTGTCACTTGGAACAAAACCATCTCATACACCCCCTCAGACAGAATACACCAAATGTAATTTTTCTGTTTATTGTTTTAATATAAAAACAGCACACTGTTTCTTTACCTAACAAGTGACGTCATGTTCTCTGAGCCAACTTTCCGTGATATTTTTAAGCCTCTTATAAAGTCGAATGCGTGGCCGCCCACACATTGGACTCTACGAGAGCTCAATATTGTGTCCAATTGCTACACCCCATATTGGCTTCAATACAAACTTTGGCTTTATAGTTGATTAAACTATGAAATAAATAAAAATAATATTGGACCTCTCCCAATTGCGGTGGGAGAGTGAGAATATATGGTATATCATATTTGCAGTAGTGGCTCATAAGCATTTGCTTTAGGTACCACATCACAGCCTACACAACTATGAGCAAAAGATGTACGTGCGAACAAGACCCGCAACTCGTGATAAATGATAGAATTAACCAATGTGTGTGTAGCACTACAGTGCTCGATGCCCCCGCGCATTCCCCTTTTTCTCCCCTCGCCTTTGATCTTGTTTCAAAAACCGATACAGTGCCCGTCGTTATTGGACAGTCAAGCCCGATCCATACATTGAACTTTTGTCTCCAATACATTACATTAGCGCAAATAGTCCATTATAAAGCACGGGCTTAATTTTTTTAAATTTTAGACAATTCTGGTAATCAGCTTACAAGACTATATATGTGCAATGCATAGAAATAATAAATGAATGAACGTTAATTGTTTAATAAACATATAGATAATAGTTGAGATATTAATATCACTTGTAAATTAGACCAAATTACAGGTATAATATGGAAAATATGATTAAAATCAGGTCAGTAGTTTTAGACTTTACCATAATGAGGTATAACACGAGATTTTTATATGTTACCGGGAATCTGTATAATTTAGGTATTCTATACGATACTTAGAGAATGTATAGAATACCGGGGCCGTCAGGTAATATTAAAATACTTACCCTATGTATGTGCGATTCATATATGTACAATTTATCATAAGTGTTAAGTGCAGAAATGAAACTAAAATATCACATAATTATCACATCAGTTTTATTTATGAATCATAACATTTAAGTAACAGTATACAAAATTATTTAACCATTTATTACAATAAAAAAACAAAAGTGGACAAAGTAAACAATGTACTCGTACTTCAACAATAATCTCAATGAACATAATTATTATTTAACACGCGCACGCTTCCCTCGGGATCGTTTATGACACTAAAGTGGCTATCGAACGGACAGAACGCTTGCATTCACGAGTGGCACCGAAATTTAGAATAATTTATACCTTTGGGTACACTAGAGTGCGGGTCGTTACAATTGCAATGTCGATTGATCGCGATTGTGTTAAATATTAATGATTTCATTTTTAAATTAATAAACAAAAATAAAATTTCAACCTTGTTGCGTTGGAAACAAAATTTAAATTTACTTATACTTTAACGCGAGAGCGTGCTGTCTAAAAGAACAGTGCACAGTCTCATTGCTAAATCCTAAATAAGAAATAAGAGGCGGATACAGGCAAATCCACGTGACAGGTGATAAACATGTCCTTAAATTTAATTATGATTTTGATAAAGATTGAGTAGAGACTAATATACTTTAACACACGGTGACAAAATTTCAAGCTATGTCTGCGAATGTTTGAGTTAATAAATACATCACCAATGAATAGTGTTACAATTAAATGCTTCTTGCTCTTTTTTCCTTTCGAGATCATGAATGCTTTAAATAAATATTAACTTACAATGCTAATAAACGATTTTCCAAATTTAACATAGCTTTATATAGTAAATAAGGCGTGGTTTCCAACATGAGTGCACACTCTCTTATAACAAAATAAAAGCTTTTAGGAAAATTGGTGTCCAATTCCTGATGGAATACATCATTTAAATTATGCGATTTATTCAATTTGTTGGCTGCATAATCTCTCTTCCAATAATTGAATTCTTTTATTTCTGTGGATTTTTTTACTAAAAGTTCCAAATTAGCTTTTGGTTTATTCATCGTGAGTTTTTCATCTCTCAAAATACTCAATGGTATATCATCGTCGCTATCATCATTATTTATCTCTGGTTTTTGTTGAATAAATTTTGCTGAGTTTTTGTTTTTTTCTATCTCTTCTATTTTTCTGTCTAAAATCTCAGAAATTACAGGATCCCCAATGATATCAAATGGATCATCGGTATCACTTTCATCATTAATTTTCACATAAAGTTGTCTTATATCATACACTTTCTCATTAAATTTGGGGTCACTATTGTTCGCTTCGTTCGTTTGTTCTTTGTTTTGTTCTTCATCTTGATCTTGTTCATTTACACATTGGACACTATCATTTCCATCTAAAATAACACTTTTATCAATATTTTCATGTGCTTCATTATCATCAACAGCATCAAAAGTTTCGTCACCTGGCACTGTCATCAAATTTTGCGATTCTTGTGTATCATCTTTATTATTAACAACAGACTTTACATGTTCTGATAATTGGAATAGTACGTCATGCTGTAAATTCTTATAGTAAGCTGCGATGAGCTCGTTCACTTCATCCTTAACTGTTGAGGATTTGGTATATTTCCTATTCGGATTAGAGATTCTCGGTTTTTTAGCACTGCTTTCACCAGCTTTATCTTTTACAAAGTCAGGTTTCCTTTTCTTAGGTTGTTTAGTGTCATATTCTTTTGGAATCTTAATTTTATATTTTTTGCAACTTGCCAGGACTAATTCTCGTATCGTTCTTTCTCTGTTAAATGTATTTGGATTAAACGATAACTCGGGATCCTCGTTCCAATAAGATTCATCATCTTTCACATCAATATTGTCACTATAGAGATTATCATTTACACCATTATTTTGAGTCACCGAATTATTAGGAATACTTGAGTCCTGTATATCCAAATGATCCAATACCTCATCGACTTCTTCTACTTTACATTGTTCCATAATTTCATCAAAATCTTCATCAAATATATTTGTGTCAATATTTTCCTCTATAATTAATTCATGTGTTACTTTTGTTTCAAGTTTATCCTCAGTAAATTCATCTGAAATTTCTTTGCAGTTTAATTCTGTATCACTTGACTCAATTTCTGTATTAGAATCATATCCATGATCACTGTGTTTGTCGTTACCATTACTTTCTTTAACTTTTTGTACATGTTCTGCCTTTGGTTGGTTGGTTATATGCCAATTTTTATTATCACAGTTTCTCACATAAACCTTTTCGACATTCAGGGTTTTACTTTGTAATAAACCATAGATTTCAGGTTTTATCAATTTATTTCTTTCATTGATCCCTTGTAGAATGTTTCTTACACCATTTGTGTCTTGCAAATACAGATTTTCAACTGCATACATAAGAGAATATTGTGTAAAATCTTCACTGAACATTAATCTCAAATCTGGATCATTAAAGTATTCCATAACTAATTCGGTATATGTACTCAAAGGTGTTATCGTTGGTTTAAACTCACTTTTTGGTATAATTTTGACTTCACTTTTAAAGGGTAATCTTTCTAACAATTTCATAATGATTTCATCTGTCAATTTTGTTGACTTTGTTTGTGTTGCTTGTTGGGTGTGCTCCATGTACACATAGTCATCAAAATCATGCAAGTACCCCTCAGCCATATGTAAATAATATTTAGACAGTATAATTTTTCTTACTTGTATAAAGTTACACCACTCCTTAAATGAAAACAGTCTACCAGTTGGTTCAGAATAAGATCCTAATTTGTAAGATTTTAAGTAACAATTATCCTGATTTATTCTATCAACTATACCGGACACTTTATATTCATAATCATCGTCTAAACCAAAACACATCTTGAAAGCGACCAAAACATAGGACATGACTACACATTCATATGATGGTAGACGCAACATGCTTTTCATCTCAGAAATATTAATTTCAAGGTAATCACAGGGGACTAGTTGCATAAGGGATAACACTAAATTTTTGAAGTCTGCAGGAAGGCACAGCTCTTTTATAAACTTGTCAACCATTTTTCTTAAATCAGGCAAACGAGGCGCGATATTGAAACAGTTAAGTAATGAAAGTGAGGTCAGCATAGCATCTTCGATGTCGCTATAAGAACTCTTGTTAAAAGTAGCCCACCCTGGTACAAGCTTGACTTTGATTTCTTTAGGTATATATTTCTTACAATTTGTCAAATCTAATCTACCCTCTCTTAAGAACCTCATTAAATCTGACATTTGTATTTCACTGTCATCCAAATTCAATGCAATGTATAATATACTAAATAGTAAAGTTTTCTTCATAACAGACAGGTCCTTGGTCATTTTTAGTGGTTTTGACTTTTTCTTTCTCTTCATTGTTTCTTCATGAGATTCTTCTACAACATCTGAATAGTTTCTTTGATTTTCTATTGATAACCTAAAACAAAACAATTTTTTGCTTGTAAAAATATACACTGGTATTGGTTGGGAACAGAATTGTCAATTTGGTTCTGCCTTATATTATTACTTATTACAAATCTTTTTTCTGTCTGGCACTTCTTACAATGGTCTTGATATGATATGTTGCAGTGGGCAAAAACTTATATCATTAATCTTAAAGGACAATGGGCGTTCTGTCCCATTAGCAGCCAGTAATGAAAGTGGTATCAATCGAAAGAGGGGCTAATAAAGAACAACTTTGGTTAAGAAAGTACACCTTTATTCCATTTGAGAAAAAAGGTACTTACATCTTAGTGCTTATATATTCATATTTTGTACATATCCTTACATACATATGCTAAAATAATAATATAGAGTCCAATGACTGGGACCAAGTAATTGACAGTCCGAACTTGCTCCACGATTTTAATGCTACCCATTTTGTGCACATGATGAACTTGATGAAGACTGCAGCTCTTCGAGGATCAATAATTGACTTTGATCGGATAGAAGAAATGCACGACAATGAAGTATTAGTATTAGTCGTGAACAATTTATGGAGATACTACAACTAACGCCTTCATTGTCAAATGAATCGATTCGTCCAAAGTTAGCGTTGGCTGGTTTTCTAATGAAGCTACGAAGCGGTGAAACAAACGAACGACTGGTGGCTCTTTTTAATGTGAGTCAACGAACCTTTGAAAGGCACCTCAATGCAGCTCGAGAATGCCTGTACTCAGAATTTGTACCCCGACATTTGGGCTACAATCACATAAGTAGGAGAGAGGTAGCTCAAAGGAACCTCTTAGTTCCTAAACAGTATCTTCGGCAGCCTTGGATCAGAAGAAAGAAAACCAGTGGTGATATGTGACGCTACGTATATTTATATTCAAAAATCTTCTAATTATTTATTCCAAAGACAAGCATACAGTCTACATAAATTCACCAACTTGTTGAAGCCATTTATTATGGTTTGCTGCGATGGACATATCATAGATGTATTTGGACCCTGTGCAGCCACCGAGTCGGATGCAACCATCATGAAAAATATGATAGAAAAAGTAGACGATGGTTTCCACTGGTTCTTCGAACAGGGAGATGTATTCGTCTTAGATCGAGGATTCCGGGATGTCATAGACGATCTCGAAGCTTACGGCTATGAGGCTCATATGCCAAAAACAAAAAACAGGAATGAGGACCAATTAACAACCGAACAAGCTAATAAAACTAGGTTGGTTACTATATGTCGGTGGGTCGTGGAAGTTATTAACGGTTGGTTCAAACGTGATTTCAAACTGTTCAGACAAGATTTTTTTAACAGAGCACTGCTGCATATGATGAAAGATTTTAAAATAGCAGCTGCGCTACTCAATGCATACCGGGTACCACTAGAAGATAGTGTACACGCCGAGACATTTGTTAATATAATTAATGAGCGTTTAAACCAACCAAACATCCTTTCGGAATATGTCGTGATAAATAATTTAAATCGCCGACGAGCTACCTTTGACAGCATCACAGGAAATCATCCGAATTTAAGTGACTTCCCGACGTTGACCGAAGAAGATCTAGTGATATTCGCGCTCGGCACATACCAAGTCAAACTGGCACGCAGTTATTACGCAGAGCATGTTCGACAAGGCTTGTTTAACATAGAGGTGTAGAGAGATCAAGATACAGCAGGCCTAACCGAATACGGAATTACATCTGCAGAAGTTTGGCTTCTGCGCTGCCGCATACAATCAAGACATGTGAGGTCCAAAATATATTATTTTTATATTCTAGTAGACATGGAAAGAAATGGTCAACATGCTCTGGATAATTATTACTGTAGTTGCCTCAGTGGTAAGCGGACACTGGGCTGCTGCGCCCACGTCATGTGTGTCGTGTGGTATTTAGGGTGGGCTAGAAACCAAGATGACGATATTGCTTTGCCTGCCCATTTTCTAAATGATGTAATTGTTGATGATGTTTAAAAATAAATATTTTTCATAATTACATTTTGTCTTACTCATCCTACAATCAAAACCTATATGCAAAATAACATATTACAATAAATGACATTCATTTTATTAATGATAAATGCTTAAACGCATGTTGCACAGTAATATTCAACTTTTTTACTACATTCGCCTGTTATATCTTATCCGCAATAATTTTTTTCTCAAATGGCCTGCAATGATAAGCTATTATATTTTTATTCTGTACATATTTATGTAACAAAAAATTCCAATGGGAGTTCTTTAATGGCTGCCAATGGGACAAGCCCCATACGAATTTGCCCATTGTCCTTTTCGCAATTAATTTTCAACTCTACTCCCAATGTATTAAGGTTTAAAATCAAGTGAAGGAATTTGATAGTTTTGTATATGCTGTTGACTGTCCATCCATCCTCACAAACTTTTACATTTTTAATATTACTGGGATATTAATAATTACCACCTTACTGTCCGCACTGTTAAGATCAGGCTTTATGGATGGAATCAAATCAAATAAGGAGAATGGGTCATGTATGATTCACCTTGTGGCCCTTGTGTTGATTGGTGAGTCCAACAACTGTAGATGCAGGTGGGACCAATGGCTTAACATGTTTTATTACAAAGCACGGATGATCTTGAAATAAACTTTTGGTGACCGATGGACCTGACACAGTATGCTGTGGGAGACTCTTGTGATCATGTTGTTCAAATCAGGTATCAAGTTAATTAATCAGAGCTTTATGTGAGTATATTACACTATTTATGTGAGTTATGTCAATACATGTCAGCAGTACATTCAGATGATTATGCAGAATAAACATAACCTTAAATTAAAGAGCTTTACTGCTTCCATTTTGTTTACATAATAATAGAGAATAGTGTTTGATTCAAAAAGGGTTAAATACATTTTCTTACAAATAAGAATAAAGTCTTTGCAATTTTTTTTTTTTTTGTTATGGCGATGTCTTCGGGAAATTAAAAAACACAACTGGAAAATCAAACTAAAAAACAAACAAGATGTATTATTATTATAACAGCGCTAAAGAAAATTCTCTTTCCAGATGGGGGACTATTCACTTATACTTGAATTATTAAAAAGTCGTTCTGCACTGAAGAACAATTTTAATATTACAAGTTACTGTGTTTGCTTTCCAGCATTGCTATGTTATGCATATGAATTAAAAACTTTTGTGTTGTGATTTATTGTATATGTATATTTATGTCAGCGCATCTGATAAAAGCTGATTGCAGATAGATATAAAAAAGAAAAAAAAAATTGTATATTTGGAACTTTAAAAAACAAACCACTTTATGACAATAGAATACTCAAGGGCAGAACCGTCAAGGCTGTAATGCATGCCCACAACATTTTCATGGTCTACTGAATGCATCACCAATGTCGATCCATACAATGTACAATATCTTGATTACTGTCTCATGTATTTTGAGACACAATTGGATTTCAGAGGAATGCACTTTTTTAAGGAATACCTCGACTCACACTTGGCATATTTTAAAGAGTATGTCACCACAATTATTCTTGAAGTCTGCATCTGCCAATATGCTGACAATAATAAGGATACTGCAAACATATTCCTTACCCTAATTCTTCCTTGTTTTGAAATTTTTTGATGTATTCTGTCCACAACCATAGGACCTTCATTTTAAAGCTTGGTTTTGCTCCAGCAGCTATAAGCTCATCGGCCAAACCCACCAGTATGAAATTATAAGAATGCCATTTGTGCCATTCTCCAGATACTGAAATAAATTTATATAATTTTCAGACAGTTCTAAATAAAATTCCAAACAGATTATATGATAATTAGGTAATAAAAACAGGAAAACATATTTTCTGTTGCCCTTTAATGAACTTAGGTCCAATGATCATGGTAAGTACTGTATTTTAACACAAATTTAGGAATACATTTCAAATATCACGTAGTTAGGGTGGATTAAATTTGATTATATGTAAACTTTGTTGTTATTATATAGAACCCTTTCAACTACTTTGATGATTATTAAGTACACATTAAAATACATAATTGTATAGCATAATCTAGTTAATATTTTTGAATAAATGTGTAGTTGTTCATTAATATACAAAAAATCATACATTTATTGTTTTCTTGAATTTTGGTAGTCAACTTTCTTTTTTGTCTGATTGTAAAAGTTCCATCGGCCAATGATTTATTTTCAATTAAAGTTTGTCTAATGTTAACATCTTGAGTTCCACATTCAACACAATAATAGAAACCATCCACAAGTTTTGTATCCGTTCCACCGCATACACTGCAAGGGTCAGCATTTGTTTTGTCATACATTGTTCACCTATCTTATAGTAATTATAAACAAAATTAGATCACCCATTTAAAATTTTAGCGATTGCAAAATACATAATTAAAAAGAACCACGTGAACGCGAAAATATTCTTCTTCTTCTTCTTTTTTAATTCATGGCCTATTTGCATTTACACAATTCCGCCAATGTCACGTTTGTGGTCTTTACACGTATAGTTATGGTTAGTTGGAAACTGTCAGTTAAAGTTAAATATCGCGCTGTGTTACAAAGAGCAATACCTACGTTAATCTATGGACAAAGGCAAAACCATAGAGAATAGATAGGCAAAACAAACATCTCCTATGCCCTGTATACATGTCTACGATGCATTTCTATAAAAAAGTCGACCGAAAGGTTATTTTAACTGAGTCGATTTCTAATATTGATGTGGATATGTTGTAAAAAGGACTACACCTTTCTCGATTAGCTCTTATCAGTTGGACGCAATGACACGAGAATGTAAACCTCTTTCTAGGCATAAAGTAATCATCCTAGGAATATACTCTCTGAACTGTAATACCACATTAAGTAAAATAAACAAATTTAGTAGGGTTTTAATTATATTGTGTTCTTAAATATTTTCCTTAAAAATACTTATTTTTAGGGAAAATAATATTATTCAATAAGTATTGTAAGGATCTTTATTGTTAATTTTGTCTCTTGATGTGTAACTCGTGAAATGAAAAAACAAACTCAAACAATTTTGTCAAATATTTAAGAACAGTCATAAAACATTTAATCAAATAATAACACTATTTTGGCCAGGTGAATTGTATTTTAGTGTGATTATAATATGAGCTCCAAATGTAAGTTGTCCATTTGATTATACATATACTTCATACCCTATATATAAAAAAGAGAAACCATGTAGGCACCAAAAGACGGTCATTAAAAGACTTTCTGTCGCGCTTGAACTAATTTTTGATTTTGTCTCACTCGTTCTTTGTTCATTGTCGTTATTAGTGTTCTGGTTTCAACTTTTTTTAAATCACATAAAAAACAAAATAAAAAGATTTTATTCAACAAATTCAATATTGGTATCATTTAAAATAATATTAACAGTATATGGATCGACAGCCTCGGTTTATGTATGTACACAGGCTGCACGTTTGGTTATTACAATATGTCAAATACCCTCAATTGATTTCGAACTCTACCTGCATTTATACATTTTTGTATAACTGACATGCTGTTGATTATACCTACCGTGTACTTATTGTATAATTTCATTTTATCTCTAAAAACTTGTTATTTTATGATAGTTGTGATTGTGGGATTAATATGTATGTATTACACTCCAAGACAAAATAGTTGACTACGCGTTGTGGCAGTAAAAAAGCCACGACGTGTTCTGAGCATTAATTGGTTAAACAAGCTGTTTCATTTTTCAATAACGATTCCCTTCTGGCTCTTAACCGGCCGCTGCTGCTGCACGCTCACTTTGCTTGCTCGGCTCGTGCGTTTTTGTCATACTCTAACTTAACCTAACCTAATCAAATATGGTTCAATACGCTTCACGGTTTTTCTTCATTACCACAACACGTTGTGGTCGAATAGCATAACAGTCTCGACACGGATTTCACTATGTCGTTATTCTGTGAATGCCACAATATGTCATGAGCGTTTCCATAAGAGCCATAACATGAATTTCGCTATGTCGATATTTTACTGTAACCACAACGCATTGCCAACTATTTTTTTGCTCAATGAGCGATTTCGATCTATGAGGGTATGTATAAAATAACATATGTATTAAAAGTTAGTAATGGTCTCATTTTAGCACTAAAACTAGCACACTTGAGTATAAAACCTGTAGCCGTTAAAAATTACTACCAAATAGTTAGATTTAAAATTCACATCTGGCAACTGGAATTTGTGCTCAATCCGTTCTATAAATCAAAGAGAATAATCGTTTCACTCATAGCGTTTTCTTGGTGTCCGTCATCAGTATTTCGCTTAATTCGGGCTCTTTCTCGGTTACGAATAAACTGAGATAAGTTAATGGTTAATTATTTTTCAAACGATCGATTGAAAGAGTCTGTATTTCTGTTTTTTTTCTTACAAAAGATGATATAGCTCTTTTCACCACACCCTTGAGATTTGAGCGTTCGTCTGTTTATTACTCGGGCCGTATCTGGCTGTTCCGTTAAAAGGATTGTGGTATCGAGTTGTTTAGTGTGTGTTTTGTGCTGTTATGTGCTTGAGTTACCGACAGCTTATGGTGTGCAGTGTTTGATTCGCGGCTAGAGGGACTTATAAATATTGATGGGCTGTGTGTTCGTGCGGAAGGCGGCGAAGCGGCCGCACCGGCGGATTCTTGCTTCCTGGAGGGTCGACAGTAAAATCCGCCACACTGGAACTGATGGAATTAGAGAATATCGTCGCCAACACTGTCTACTTGAAAGCCAGAGAGGGTACGTGCGCAATTTACAATTGAAATCTGTTGATCGTTTAGAATTATTAATGAATTACATCGGTCACTCAGGGTCTCTGGATTCAAATATAATGCTTGTAGTTTTCTGAGTATTATCATTGGTTTTTATTTTGTTATTTAGTCTGTGTCTTAGTGATAATTAATGAAAACAAAATTATGATAATCATTTAATGTACTGATGAATAATTATAGATAATCTCTTGTATGATTTTGTCTATCCGAATAATGATTTTAAGCAGAAACAAGTGCTGCAATCTATTTGAATAATCTTAAGATTGTTGATAAAATAGATATTCTGGTTAAGTTACAATTTGTAAATAGTCAAAAGGGTATTCACTGTTTGTATATTGTATGACTTTGATTGAAATTTCACTACTTCTGAGGTAATGAATTGAGGTTAACTAAAAAAGAAACAGTTTTTGATAAATAAAACTATTAATCAACAATCTCTTTATGTAAAGTGATAAAATGTTACAGGGTAGTTAATTAATGTTTCCTTATTTGTGCTATTTATAATAATTTACATCTATGTAATGAATTAAGTTAATAATATTATGTATATGTATATTTTATGTTTTATTTACTTTGGAAATGCAAGTTCTCAATTCATCATATTTGTAATACAGCAATTTGTAGTTAGCATTAGCTGTAACAGATCTCGACTCATCTTGTGTTATGTTATCATTGCTGTCCTTGTTTCTAAAGTTTGACTCTGTTGCGTAATCCATTCAGCTGACAAAAGTATCAATATTTTTACATTTTGTCCTTTTACCAAAATTTCCTAAAATTTTTTTGAATTTAATATTATAAGATTTAATATGTATGTTCTAGATAATGTGTAGAATCCCAAAAACTTGTAGGTAATATATGAAATATTATTTATTTCAACTTACTAGGTTGTCTATACTATACCAAATGCTCATTTAAGATTTAATCTCATAAAACATATAACTCATTAAGACAATCTCTATGCTGTGCTTTGAAATCATCCAAAATTGCTAACCTGTCACATAAACATTGATAAATATAGACCAGGATCTATTTATTTTATACATTTCCATTGAAACAGTACCTGCTGTTATATATAATCCCTAGGATTTGTATACTAGGGAAAGAATGTAATCATCTTCAACCCTTTTAAATCCCCACTGCAGGGGCTCAGGCCTTCCTCATAGATGGTTAAGGAGCAGGAAAAGTATGTTATGTATCATAATATTTCATACATTCCTTGAACGCCCTCAGTAAGTCTATTGAGTGCATGTTGAACTCAATATGAGCTTTGTTCAGGCAATTTATATGAATTCAGACAGTGCTTTTAATTTTATATGTTTTAGAATGGATAATACATTTCATGTTCCAAAATCCAGCAAACAAGCTATTGAATAATATTACAATAATATCTGTCAGTGTGTAACACCAACCCTCTGATACGAGTGATAATGGCACACTTCTTGCTAAAGGTCATATAGTATCAATAAATGTGTTTTGACTGGTGAACGGGACATAATGATTGTTTTTTCATGACCAAACATTATCATTGATGTTATTCCTTGTTGCCAAATTTAACATAAGAATTAAATAAGTTTTTCTTACATGTCTATATTAAATGATTCTCGATTATGTAACTGAAATCTTTTTTTTTAAAGGTGTCATCTCTTGGACACTGTTTATATAATTTCTTTTTCTTGTTTCAACATGTTTTATGTAAATGTTTCATCAGTACAAACATGGGGTGACTAGACTAGTATGTGTATCATTCATGAGCAAACTGTCAATTTTAATGCCATACAGACGCCAACTAAGATAGACCATACAGATTACAGTGTAGGTAATCTTTTGGTCGGGTTTACATATTATATTAAATACTGAGGCCACTTGTAGTCTAAGTCATCATCACAAAAATGTACAATAGCTTTGAAGAACTAAGGGTAGGTAACACCACCCAGTAACCACTTTGGAGGTCAGTTGCTGGAACACCAGCACCGAGTAAGTAGCATGACGAACTCGTCTTCACCTAAATGTAATTTCTCTCATACAATATCTCACTCTCGACACGATAAAGTGCTACGCGTACTGGTTTTTTTTCCCTATGATTAAAAACGTATGATATCAAGCGTGCACGTCTTTACTCTCGATGCGTATTTGTATGGAAACTTAAGCGAACGTACAAGAGAGCCTTAAATGAAAGTGAGTATTTCTTTATGAACTAATAATTTAGAAATAAAATATTTAGTAGTCCTTCGGTAGAGTACTTTGGGGTAATTACGAAAGCGGGGACATTCTGACAATGTAATTAAACAAAAAGTAATATGTTTGTTGTAATTAAAAGTTTTTTATCTGGTAAAAGCCTAATTTACCGTTACAAAATGCCTGATTTGTTGTTATTCGTCACTTTCAGGATTTGCCTGTTTTAGGTATTACCTCAAAGCACCTTTTTATAACTCAGCGAATCATATATCAATATTGTGAAAATCGAGTTAATAATTTATTAACTATATATTTATTAAAAATAAGCCCCACACCGAATAGATTCAAATAATCTGCGTCGACGAGCTTCCATTCGCTTAAAATATCTCTGTATTTGACATTTAGATATCTAAAATATCAATAATTAATAGCAAAGTTGCTACATGGCTTATAAAATATCCATCAAATGATGTTGAAATAAGAAAATAAACATTTCGGCGGCGCTTAAAAATAAAATAAATGATCATGTGTAAGGTTTATTTACCCTCTATCGATTAATATATACTTTTTTCTTAGTCCGAGATAATGTGAATAAAGTACCGGCCTTCATACAAAAAAAAGTTCTTTCTAAATAACTATACATCGGCGCACACTATTTCTATACATAGTATAAACAAAGTCGCTTCCCGCTGTCTGAACGTTGAGATCTTTTAAACTTCACAACGGTTTTCAACAATATATAGAGTGATTCAAAAGGATGGTTTGTATGTATAATACAGGACCACGCGGCCGAAAGCGATTGGGGAAAGCTAGTATGTATTTAATAAAACAACTCTCGCTCAAGCTTTATAATAATATAACTTTTATTTACATATTAGTCGTTTCGCAACATTTGCCGGGTCAATAGCCGCTAGACGAACTTACGAAGACGGTGTTATTTCTACAATAATATATTCGGAATATAAAAAAAAGGCAAAACATAAAGTGAATTGATTACGAAAGTGGTTCCTTCAAACGAGTTCAAAGCTGGTAGTTCGATTGAATCTCATTCAGAGTTAGAATATTAATATTAGCTAGTATTGATAGAAACTTAATAAGTAGTAGGTCTTCGTGAAAGTTGGTCTTTGATATGAAGCCTTTATTGAGGCCAGGTCGCCCCCCGCCCACGAGCAAAGTTTAAGGGAGAATCACGAAACCCACGTAGCTAATATGAAAAAGATACGAATATCATTTTTATTGTACCTATGTCTGTATGTATTTCTATACCGCTTATTTCTACAATATAATTTTATATATATAATATTCTTTTACTAATTTTATTAAAAGAATATTATCTTTTACTTATTTCTATAATATTCTTTTACTAATTTTAGAAAATATTCGCCTTATTTCGATACGTTTCCTACTTTGTCAAATCGTATTGTGAATAGTGACCAGCCAGTTGCAGAAACTTTTGAATGTCCCTTTAAAATCTAACGAGAACCTTTACAATAATCGTAATAGCTTGCGAGTAATCGAAAATAGAATTAGACGCGCAAGTTTTTGTCCTTATCTAATTCATTGAAGGCGCATTCATTTAGTATTTGTCGCGTTTTCTCTTTTATACTCTACAGCCATAATGAGATTTATTCAATAAATTGTCTTGTTCAGGGATGTTAGTAAGGGTCGCTTATTTGTTTTTAAGCCCAGTCGTAATAATTTAATCTCAAATATTTATCGCCGATTTCGTTCATTTCAGTTTTGGCGTTATTTGATAGAAATATACTTATCTAATATCTTCTTCGACGATCAAGAGTTCATTGTTCTCGGTTTTAAGATAATTTCTACCAGCTAACATTAACTGTAGTGGTTTTTTTAAATAACAAGTATAAATCTCCACGGACTATATAGATAGACATTCACGTTTTATTTTAGTTTTTTTTAATTATATTAAAACGACGATTATGATTATCTCTTTAAAAATATGTAAAACGAGAGCTTTTTTTATTAAATTTGGGTGAAGAATTGTTTACCTGAACGATTTTTTTAAATATCAATTCTACGAATTGTATTAGTTGACAAAAACAATATTAATGAAAGTCCACAGTTCGTAGCCGACATCCCGTTTTCGCCGAGTCCCGCATCTGTTTATCGACCAATGAAAATGAGCCATAAACGATGAAACACCGCGTGAATACTGAAGCGAAACCACTAGATAGTCAAACCAAACATAATTGCATGTAACATGTCCAGGCACTTCAACCAAGCAGCACTTGATGCCGTTGTAGCTCAATAAAACTTGACCTTTAATGTCTAAAACTATTTCCAGTCGCGCTGAGTCGATAAACGTGCGCAAATTGATTTAGCTGATAAAAATATACATACGCTATGTGTCATAACGAAGCTTATCCCAAGGGGCGCCCAGACTGCTTTGAATCGGCATGGTTTCTTTTCTACGAATGTACACAAAAGGTAGGGTTGCCAAATACAATACATTTTATTAAATATAAAATAAACTCTTTTGTCTGTTTACTCGTTTGTGGTTATTGTGGATATTTGTTACGAGAATTCATATAATTCACTTGGGTGAGGATTTAACAAAAAAAAAGAATATTTTATAAAATAAGTACATAGATATATAGATTATTTGAATATATTTGAAATAATGAAGAAAATATGTAACCCTTTTTATTGGATAAGAAAGAAAACAATCGGCAACCATAATACGAAGATCCGGATGAAGGAAATCACAGATTTTGCGATCTGTGAACAAGCAATCGAGGTTGGAGGGGGGCGGGGATAAGGAAATGTTGC